TTCTTCACGGGCATCCTTGTCTTTCCCTGTGTATTTTAGATGTATATGCTTTCCCTTGGTATGCCGCCTCAAATTCAGAAGGATGATTGCTTTCATCTCTGCAAATCTGGGACTAGCTTGCAGGGGAACACACTTCTGGGCCACTGTCTACACAGCCCAAAACTAAGAACTGGACCTGCTGAGACTAAGTCATAATTTCTACAAAATGTATCCTTTTTATGGATTTTCCAAGGCAGCAAAGCTATTTACAAAATGCTTATGCTAGCACTATCTAGCTGATGAAATTCTAGTTGTGCTGTCTTTCGTAAGCGTCCTAGGAAATTGCAAAACCTTAGTCACAAAAGAGAGCTTTTGGAAGGACCAGTAAATTTCAGATCAAAGACTGTGTAGAAGAGAAATCTGTCTTCTGGTGTCACTGTTACTATTAGCGAGATAGTTGTTCAGTTTATGGGTTTGTCTTAGTGTACATGTCAATAGAGCTCTGACTCTCACTGGCACTTCTAAAGTAGTTCCTTGCAAAATACTGAGTACTACAGTTCCTGCCCTGTTACCTCACCTCTGTGAAGAATATAAATATTAGTGATTAGGAGCAAACTGAGGAACACATGGAAACAAACCTATGGATACCAGGAATCTGATCATCAGAACATACTCAACTGCGTGTACGTTTTTCTGGATTCTGTTAATTATCAAACTGATCTGTGTAGTAAGTCTTTTCTCGAAGTATACTGCTGTGCAGGTATTTAAAATACCATATGTTGCCCTGACAAAGAGGTAGTATGTACTCTTCACTTCTGCACGCAAACAGGTAAGTTGCAAAATACTATGCATTCCCACATGATCCAACAAATGTTGAAGTGAATAATAGAAGATGCTTTATAAATCTTTTCTGTCAAGGATAGTGCGAATTGTGTGAGTTTTTACCTTATGGGAGCAAGAGTCAAACTGTTCCACAATAGAAAATAAGCCTCTGGCATTAGGAAATCTCGTTTTAACCTTCATACTGAATTAAGTGATCATTAAAAGAATTTGAAACCAGAGAAATGAGCTATGTTCACCCCCAGCTCTCTGCTTTTTCTGGCTAGTTGCAAATGTCAGTCTGAGGACCTAAGCGGTGACCAAATTCCTCTTGAAAATGCCTTTTTCTCCTGGGTGCATTTTTATTCTGGACCTGCACTCTGACTGGTGACCTGGATTTCACGTTGCTTAAGCATTGTGGAAAGCTGGTTTTTTATTAGCTCAGGAAGTCCTGGAGTAGTGCTGGAGAATATCTGCTGCCTGATCAACAATCTCTGCCAAGTAAAAATAATCCTAGGTATGTTTTTCCAGTCTCATTTTGGTCTGGTATAATTCCTGATGCTAAGTATGGTCTGCAGTTTTGATGCTGTTATGCCAAATAAAGCAAATCATTTTATGTGACAGTGATACCTGCGTATATCAGTGACAGATGTAACGGCTCATAGGAAAGTTTCAAAGTTCTTTTCTGTTACCTAATGGATATATCATCTCATATCCAGTCCAGCACAAAATCTTAGTTGTCTGTTGGACATCTGGATCTAAGAAATTCCATACATCTTATCTCAGGGTTTCTGGTGATAATATTCTTTGGACTTCTATGAGAAGATTATTTTGTGAAGAGTTCTGACTTTTCGAGACCATGCAATCACGTCAAGGTAGTTGAAGTTTCAGTGGACAAAGTACCTGTGTAGTCTAGTTTGGGGAGAACACAATCCGTGCCTCTATTTTAACTTTTTAGCATTTACAATATGCTTTCTCAGACTGTTCTTGATATTTTAGCTGTAGCCATTGCTGTTCAGGCTTTATAACAACCTTTCACTGGGATGTCAGTGCTTGTTCTGCCCAACATTCTGCCCCCATCAGCTAGAGGATATGCCAAGCAGTACCTTAAGTGTTTTGTGGAACGTGTCTTTTCACTGTCTTCAGGTATTACACATTCAGTACTTTGATTGGATGCATACATTGTGAGAGTAGTATATAAATATGACTGATAGGAATAATGAGTATTAGT